AAAATGGTTTTCTAAAATTAGAAAAATAAAATACTTCGTAAAGTGGGTTAGCCATGCACCATTATGCGTGTGCTGAAACGCGGTGTTACTCTTACATATACTCTTATGAATCTAATAGCTTTTTTCAGCTTATTTTAAATATTCTCTCTGGCCACACGTTTATTACATATCACATATATATATTTATATATTATTTGATACATACAATCATATATACTTATATACACATATACAGTTATGTATATTTTTATTTTTTGAACAATTTTTAATTTTCCTTTTCATCAACTTTGCGAAATTGTTTTGTTCAAAATGCTCCGGCGAAAATTTCCGCTACCGATTTGTAAGTAGCCGCTTTTGGCGTGCAACAGCATGCAGCAATTGTTGCAAACAATAAATGCTGAGGTGAAATGAAAAAAATCCTTGACAACATTCCTTCGCTACACGCAAGAGCTGCCGGAAATTACGCTAAATTTATTAAGTGGGCGCAAAAATGTAATATAACGGCATGTTGTCGCACGCCATATGTTGCAACATGCAATAAAGTTTATATTAAAAATTAGAGTAAAATAAACATTTATTTTAAAATTGCGCTGAGTTAAACAAGTATGCCCAGCAAGGGCTTAGATTCATAAAAAGGGATATAGTCGGTTGAGAAATTTTAGTGAATAGATTAATAATCATTTAATATAAATAAACTAACTTTGCGCAGTTATTTAAGATTATAGATATTTTACAAACTTCGGTAATTTGTTTCTCAACACCATTCCAGACGTCCGCATCAAACTATTAGAGCAGCTTGATGGCCATGTTGAATCGTGGAGTAGAGGGATTTTTTTGTGTCAATTTTGTCGTTTTACTTCTTAAAAACGTCTTCAACAGTGAAGCTTTTTTCAACTGTTGAGCCCAATTCGCTTCAGAAGATGACCAGTTGACCGAAGGTTGGCTTTTATGTGGAGATCATCACGAAAAAGTCTTGATATTGGTTTGAATTGGTTCGAACCATGCGATGACAACCTTTTCCCAAAATATTAAGTTTATTGCGAAGCTCATAAATTTCGCTTGCGCTTCTTCCACACTTATGCAAAGTAATCATCGCAAAACGGTTTTCCTTGGTTCCCTCTCCATTGTTAATGAACGAAGGCAAACACTTTACGGATTATTATATGTATATGAAAATTATAGAAAAAAATAACGGCACTTTTTTTCTGCAAATTTGTTTTCACTGTATGCATTGTAGACTTTGTAACAGAATTTATGGCATAACTTACTAAAACTATCGACTATTTCATGTAAAAGTTATCTCATGACAGTTATTTCTAGTTGTAAAAATATTCCGCTCTTTAAATTTTATCCAGAGAACACCATCTCTGCACACACAGAAGCATCAAAAAATATGAAGTTGCCTCTTACAAGCCGAATGCAATCGATATTTGTATACATTGTTCGCAAGAGCGTTGAAATTCCTTTGGTAAAAAGGACCGAAATTCCTCTACAGCCACCGAAGTGTAACCAACTTTTATCAAAAATATTTGGAAAACTATGTACATCGTTACAATCCTATTTGAAAGACGTTTTGAGTAGTTTGGGAGCCGCTGGAAAATTACTCAATATCACACAGATTAAATGATTTAAGTACACCGATGTTGCTGCTGACAATTTTTAAATATTAAATTTTAGAATTCAATTGCTAGCCAGTATAATTGCACCCATAAATATGAACTTTGCAATATATAGATCATCTTTGGATCATATGGAATACTTCTGTACATCTGTGTTCCCTCAAGTTGCTTTGAAAATACTGTATTACTAAGTCTTCAATTTCCTATTGCCTAGAAAATCCAAGCAGAGTTTGATCAGAGTTTTTTTCAGCCAAATATTATTTAAATCCTCTCGATTTATCTAAATAGTCCGATATGGGTATGGGAGCAGATATTATTTTCAATTATGTTCTATTAGTTATAAACAAACAGTGTCTATTACCAAAGTATTGAAAAATTACTCCCTACAGATTTTGCTTTTTGGATCAACCTTTCAGAAGGCTTTCGGAACACAGCAAGTGTTGAAAGTAAATTTATTGAGCACGGCTAAAAATTATACTGCCAGTACATCAAAATAACTAAAGTCTTGTATAAATATAGACTTCCAAAGATCTTCAGTTTAAATCCCTACCTGCTAAATAATAATTCGAAAGCTGATATACGATAACAGAAATGGTTCACAGTAAGAAAAGTAGCAGCTATCACACAGCTCTGTAGCTTGAATAGTTTTACATTTTTTTAGTAAATTCTTTCTTTTCATACCAAAAAGTCTCTTTAATATTCTCTTCTCTATTGAATTACCAATTGAGGAGTGTCAATTCAATCCTGTAGTGGTTTCTAATACACAACACTAAGCATATCCAATCGCTTCTTACTTAAGCTAGATATACCAATACTGCAATAAAACTGCAACGTCTAACATTGCTTAATGCAAAATTGTAATTAAATTCAATTACATTCCACTTCCACGTCCATTTCCTGCGTGCGAATGGCACCGGATATGCGACGTTCTCACAACTTGGACCAAAGTAATGAAAAGCGAACGAAACTTTTGCAATTTTCTGCAATAAGCGTAAAAGTTTTGCACGCGTCAACGGCATTTCCACGCATAAGAGCGCGCATAACGGATAACATAAATTTGCTTTAACGCGCTGACGACCCAAAGCCATTTGCCAGGCATAAATTCATATCTATTGAACATACGCTTGTGCCGACCGCATAAATATATATTAGCGTTCAAATTATAATAGTGGCAGAGTAAAAGCTTCACGGGCAAATAGAAATGCGATTGCATTATTTCCACACAAACGTTATGCGCCTCGCCACAGCACACACCAACATAGTTACACATTGACACACTGACACTTCGGGGACACATAAATTGCGGTTAGCCGAAGACGTGTCATGGACGCCGTTATTCGTGCCACTATTGCCTTGGAGCAGTTGCGAAGCATGTGACAGCGTATGTTATCTAAATAGCGTTTGTGGTAACCTTTTCTAGCGCACAGATAAATATGTGTCACAAGGAGTTAGGCCAAGCCGCAAGTATCTACAGAAGGGACGGTATAGTTAAGTTTGTGCTTGCTAAGAAGTTGGTTTGTTGAAACTTACTTGGTAGCAGTTGTTTTACAACTAATTACTAATGAAATTATTAAATTAATTTATGAATAACTTTAAAACTGTAAAACTTTGAATATTTCATCTGCTGCCATTAGAAAGTTCGAAGTTCTTTTGTAAAGTATCGAAAAACTATCGATTAATCGTTTAAGAAATGATTTTCTTTTATAAATTTTTATTAAGATTGAAATGTTTTTTGAAAATAAATATTTATAGTTTTTTTTCGATAATTTGCTGGTATCGTTTAATCGATAAATTGTGTGGGTTTCCAAATATGATACAATAAAATTATTTCAGTTTTAGACTGTCCAGAAAGTTCCTTCAAATATTTAAAAACTTTTATATATCAATTAATCGATAAACTCTTATTCATAATTTCTGTTATTATCATTTATGATTAAATAAAATGCAAACTAATTTACTAAGAATTAAAAAAATTTTATAGAAAGTTTATTGAAAATATCAAATAATCGATTTCGATAAAAAAAAATTGGACTTAACAATCTATCGATAGGGATATAAATAGCCTACAGACTTATTAGTTTGATCCCAAATCAAATCGATTTCGATAAACACAATTTACGGATTTTAAAGATATTCTCTAAAAAACTTTATTCTACAAGTAACGTAATTTAAAAAAGGTTTCATTCAGTAAATTGCCTACAATTTTATTAGTTTAATGCAAAATCAAAACGATTTCGATAAAAACAAATTATGGGTTTTAACGATATATCGACATTATATAAATTGCCTACAGCCTAATTAGTTTAATTTCAATTTCAAGACAAATGCAATGTTATTAACGGTTCGTGGACCCAACAATAGCTCGGCGCAAAAACTATACTAAATAACAAGTTAAGATTTATGTTTCAGTAAAACGGCTTTTAAAATTAAATTTCTACTGAGTATCGTTCACAATTTATCGATATCACTTGACTGAAACTATAATCATCTTCTTTCAAAATATCGATGCATTACGAGTATAACTCATTTTTTAAAGACAGAAACTCGTTGCTTTTTTATTACAAAAGTTATCGATAATTCATTCGATTACAAATTATGGGAATTTTATTTATCAATTGCAAGATACAAATTATTGTAGTGCTTTTTTTATGTCATTATTTATTAATATCACTTACTTAATGGTAAAACTATCGATAATTCCACTTTGATATTCAAAATCACTTACGTCACTCGTAATAATATTATAAATTATCGACAAATTTTGTTTTATCGCTTTAAATATATAAATCATGCAAATTACTAATTTTGTATCCCTATTCTTTCTATCTTCTTTTAGCTGCACGATGATTTAGACAAGGATCCCGATTATTCCGGTTCCGGTTTTGGTCCAGATGACGAAGACTCATCCACCGATTTACAGCCATCGCATCGCGGAAACAATATACACACACAATCGGGTAAACATAATACAGTTTTGACCACCGACGACAACGACGATCTCATTTCGAGTAGAACTCATCATCAAACGAATAGTGGCACAATTATTGGCAGTAATAGCGGCAGCAATTCAGGCATCATCGGTGGCAATAGTGGTAGCAACACTGGCCTCAATACAATTGGTAAAAATCATAGAGCATTTTCATATTCAACGCCTTTATTCAACTACATGCCATATATAAATCAATATCATTCACTATCGTCTTTATTTATCATCCATTCATTCTATCGTATATCTTCTATGCGCTCACGCAAATTATCTTTCATATTCACTGTCATACTCTCTCACTCACTCACTCTCCATACAATTCACTATCAAAATTTCACCTACACACTCTTCCCACTTACACGCTTTTGATTTTGAAATTTTTTTAACAAATGTTCCGTTAATGAGCGACAATACTTTCGGGATAAAAAAAAAACTGCACCAACTTTCCTTCTACTGAATATCGAAATTTTATTGAAACTTATCGAAATTCCTCACATACATATGCACACTTTTAAAAGACATTAATGCAATCAAATCAATATCATTGCCATCGTTCATATCAACAGCCACCACGACGAAACAAGCGTCACCATCCATCACCACAAATCAAAATACACCCACTCTCACCCACATCACCACCACCACAAGCTCTGCGACGGCGGGCAAAAATCGCGGCTCATCCCTATACCCCAACCAAGTCCCACAAACCCATTTACCTGCAGCTCCTCACTACCCTGCAGGTGGCTCTGCGCACACAGACGACGAAGACTTCGATCTCGGTGAAGGTGATGACGACGGCGCTGGCAGTGGTGATGGTGATGACGATGACGATGATCACACGGGCGATGTGGATGACGGTGATGAGCATGAGGGTCTCATCGAACGTCCACATCAACCGAAATACGATTTCGGTGTGGGCAAAGAGCCAACCACCACGATAGAGAATGGGACCAGCACAAGCAGTACCACTGCATCGTCCACCACTACCAGCACTGGCAGCGTCAGCAGCAGCGATAGCAATGATCGCAAGAAGATCTTGAGTTCGCATGGCAACGACGACGAGCATGATGTAGACGCTGATGAAGAAGATGAATTCGATGACACCTACGATGAGGACAACAAGGACGATGACGAGGATGATGAGGATGATCGCCTGCATGAAGAGGATGACAATACTGAAGTGTATATTGATGGCACGGAGCCGAATGCCAAGAGCGGCAGTGACGACCAGGACAATGAACGTCAGTGGCTTTTCTTTGTTTTCCAAATATTTTTGCTTTTACCTATTTTTAATTGTTATTGGTTTAGTGCATTTTACTTAAAATTTGCTTAAGCGTTTTAAATTATTATAATTTAATGCTTTTTTTGTTGGTTTTGTTTTGGTTATCTCTTAGTATTTGCTTTATAATTTTGCTGTGCGCTTTATGTGATATGTGTTTGCTCGTTTTTTTTTGTGTCCTTTTTTATTTTCTTTGTTTTGTTTTTTTAGTGACGCTAATGCAGCGCTCAGTTTGATTATTACATTGTCAATTACTTAATTATTTGTTCTTGAAGTAATTTAGTTTCTGTTTATCACTTTTGTGCACATTTAAGCATTTTGACCATGCTGTGGCGCATGCTGAAGTTTTTCGTTTTTCATTTAGTTGAAATCATTATTTGTTAAATTGTTGATATATTTTTTATATTTAATATTTATTCATAAGTCTAAGGATAGCCTTCCGGGAACAGAATAAGCGAAAAACTGATTACAGATGCCGTCAAATATTTTCGGAGGTTGTTTTTTTACTTTTTTTTGATAGACTTTGATAGAAGAAATCTGAAATTTGGTAAAGATGTAATATGTAATCGCCTTCAAATGTTACTTAGGAATTTTTTTCAGGGATGTCGCGTGTCAGTCTTTATTTACTTAGTATGTTCACCAATCCTGCTCGTTATGCCTACACGCTTACTACCGATGAGGTACAAGTATCCCAAACGACTAACTTTTAAGAAAAAAATTAAAATATATATATATATATATATATTATATTATAAAATTTTAAGACTTCAAATCCCTAATGGCTCAAAAATACAAATAATTAAACACCCAAATCTATACTTACAAAAAGTAAACAACCTCCTATAGGTATGCTAAAAATTTCTTAACAAATTCATGTAACTTCAAACCAGTTTCTTACCAAAAAATTTTGTTTCGATGCCTTCTTGATTTAAAATCATATCAAATAACTCTCTTTATTATTTGAAGTCAAAACAAAGACAAAATATAAAAACCATTTGAAGGTATGAAAAATCTGTTTTATTAAATCTCCTACTTGTTGTTTACTAGTAAGCGCTCTCAGCTTTCTTAGGAGCCTAATTGCGTGCCAATAATTTAGTAATACCCAACTAAATTTTGTTAAAAACTTTACCCATACCCAAAATTTATTCGTTCTCAGTGAGCTACTGTGTACTTCGGCCTTTGGATTTTGAAAATTTTGAAATAGCAATTGATTATTCTACTCTCACATACCTCTGAGTACTGTTTTGCATAACAATCGTTTTTAATATAAGCGCCAAAAACTATACTACTATATTCAATTAACATTGTTTACGTTAGGCAAACCTCAATGTTGTATATCATATAACTCTGTAAAGAGTGCTTAGTTGTTTATATACTCAGCTTGTTTGCTTACACAAGGAAGTAAATATTAGTCTGGCCAACACTGCGCCCATGGTTATGCTACAAATATGTATTTGCAGCTTATCAGTTCTCAGTATTTATAAACAGAAGGCAAATAGTTTCCGATATGAGTGCAACAGCTGCGGTCGCGAACAATAATTATTAGTTCGGAAAGAAAAGTATTTTCAGTATAAAAGATAGGAAAATATTTGATAAAATAATATGCAAATTGTTGTTTTCTAAAAAAATATAGCTTGTAGATTTATATTTCCAAAGACATAGGTCACCGAATAAAACTGATTTTGGAAGCGTAGATGGCAATATAAAAAAAGGATTATCTTTAGAATTAAAAAAAAAAAAAGTATTTTTCAAAAAAGGTCTATCCCCAGACTTGATTAGGAGTTAAACCAAACGCGATTTTTAATGAAAGTATATACAAGTTTTCTAAAAAAATAAAGCTATTGAGCTCAGAGAATCAGAGTTTGAAAAATGTAATTTAGATTTGAAGAAACAAATGCATATATTAAAAAAATTAAATGCGCGAATATCGATTTTGAAAGCATTGAAAAAAAATAAGATACGTATTTACATCGTATTGGAATTAAAAAAAAAAATATTTAGAAATCAAGAGGAATTTAAACCAAACGTAATTTTTTATTTTCTTTAAATATTTTTGATTGTCTGAAAATATTTTTACTCGCTATTTTTTATTAAAATTTGTAAATTGTAAATATTTTAATTAAAACTTTAATTTTCTTCTTATTTTCGCACCTTGTTTTTGACTATAATCCCATTTGAAAATTATTTAAATATTTTGAAACTGACAAACTGGCGTTCAAAAGTTGCGGCGCGATTTAATACTTGTATTTAAAAAAATAATTCCAAAAATTTCGAAAAACTCAAAGTCCAAACTTCTTATAATCACGCGCAAAAAAAATCGAAAAATATTAAAATAATACTCTTTGAGAAATCAATCACCAGCTGCCTGCGCGTAGCGCAACCAACTTCGCCCTGGCAGCATGCCCTCATCTGCGCCTTGTCTAGCAAACTACCAAAAAAAAGCTGTCAATAGCTTTGTCGCTCACGCTCACACTATTACAAGCAGTCACTAACACTCACACAATGCAAAATGCTGAAAAATATATAGCAATATAATACGAGCAAAAATATACAAAAACAAATTCATACTTTCATTGACTAAATAAATATTTATGCCGCATATTAATCCAGTTACCGCTGTGTTACGTGTCGATTTGTTTACACAATTACGCAATCATTCATGCAATTGATTTACTCATCCATTGCAAGACGATCATTACAGTCGATACGCTTAGTCGGTGCATACTAGACACATTAATGCAATATTTGCGCTTATTTGCAGAAAAAATATTTAATTTCATAGAATTAATACACATACAACCCGAAATATCTTAACTCATTAAACCGTTCATGACGCCTTTTAATCATTCAAACATTGCCTCATCTCATATATGCCTTCACATGTACGTTTTCGTTTCATATATACATACATGTGCGTATGTGTGTGTGTTTGTGTTTAGTTAGGTTTGTGTTTCCATTTCATTGACGCCAAATTATTTGCGGTTTCATGTAAAATCTCACACTAAGTAGTCTCAATACTTGTGGTATATACTGTAGTGTACATTGTAGCTGTAGTTTCATCCAAAAAGTGTTGTTGTAAAAATAGTTGTTTTTTGTTGTATTTTATTAATTATAACACACACCGTATAAATTTGCTCATCATTCGCAATTATTTGTAGCTAATTTATTAGTGGTGTACATTTATTTTGTAATTTTTAATAATTATTTTTGCATGACAAATTAAAATTGTTTTGATTTTTTGATATAAAATTTTTGCTGACATAATATTAGTTATAATATTTCCACATCAATTGGTGTAATACTAAATTATCATTATTAATAGCGAATGAATTTTATTCATTAATAGTTTTGCATATTTTTAGGCGCATTATAAAGCACCGTTGCTGACGTTGTGTTCACAATCAGTCACAACATTTTTATGTAATGGCGCTAAAGTAATGCACTCAATTAAAACAAGCCTAATTGCTTCTAATAAAAGTAATTAAGCCTAAAAGTATGCAATAAAATTTCAATAATCAGCTGTTAAGTGTTTAGTTGTAGTATTATGTTTACAACGCTTATAATTTGCAGCGGAAAGGTAAGTGGTTCATAGTTTTATACGTCTATTGCCTGTAATCCATATATATATATATATATATATTTACATTTGTATACATATATATAATACCTAAGATGATTAGCTGATTTTCAGAGTGTTTAATTAGTTTTATACAAATACGTTAATCCGTATATAACCATAAAATATATAATAGCGCCTAAAGCTATGCCACACTTTCGCTATACTGCTTCATTCTCCGAAGAACATTTCACAATCTCTTTTTACATTCTTACTTTTTTGTGATGAAATTTAGCTTAAGGGGTCATATTCACTTGTAAGGCAGCAAACTGCTTTTTCTATAAACTTTTTTTTGAAGATGCACTTTTTTTATATTTTATTTACAGAATTTTATGTACTTTAATATTAAGCGATTCATTTTGAAACATTTTGGAATCCCTTGATTCCATAGCCAATATCCAATAAAAAAACCCCAAAAAATTATTTTTACACTAGAAATTCAAAATTTTGATTTACCACAATTGGCGGATTTCCAAAAATAAATTTTTTTTTTGTGAAAAAATTAACACTGCAGTGTTTCTTAAAATGTCGATTAACTTTCTAAGCTTTCGATCATTATCTGGCGAATATATCTAAATGCTCGTATTAAATTTTTTTTTTTTGAAATTTTCCTCATCGACTCTCAAAATAGCGTTTCGAGTTAATCGAGTATAAAATTTTGGGATTTAATAAATTTGGGAATAATAAACAAAAACAGGAAGCTCTTAGTTGCAGTGACTAAGAACTCAGTTGGTAATCTTATGAAAAAGAATCCAGATTCTTGAATAATTTGCCAAGTTGCCAAACTTCATATCTTCAACTTGGAATACATTTCTCGTTAAATCATTTTAAGACAAACTTTTTAAGCATATAGAAGAACTGATGGTACGAGGCTGTTGTTACTTTCGGCTCAATTCAATTTAGGACAGATCTCGCCACACCACAGTTTAAAAGTAGAAATCTCGAAGTTTAGATTTTAAAAAATTCTTTGTCAGTGCTCAGAACCCCTCTAGAGTGTCCGTTTAAAACTTTCTACTTATCACCTTCATGAGCAATTTCGGACTGGTGAAGAAGGTGGTATTAAATTTGTTTATATCAAATATTTTCAATAAATTTCACAAAAAACACATCAATATCTAGCCCCTAGACTTTCAATTCCTGAAGCTTTTACAACAATAATTTTTAACAACACTCTCCTTACTATTCTCCACTTAACTCTTACCCTTTCACAATTTCATTTTATTATTACCTGCAATTGTCAACAACTTGCCACCTTCACCTTTCGCCCTTGACTTCACTGACAGCCTTTGTTGTCGGCCGATCTATGTAAGTAATGCCATTTTTGAAACAAGATTTAATCGGATTGTCTGC